TTACTAGGAAGATAGGGAGTAATAAGTTGGTTGATGTATTTTGTTAGATGATATACAGGAGTTGGAATTTGCGATATGATAGGACGGAGAGGATAGTTAGCTTTATGTGTTTAGATTTTATTAAAAAATAATGGATAAATATTGTGAATTTCTTTTTTCGGTTAATGATAATGTTACCAAACTTATCAGAAGATACGAAAAAATTTTACATAAAATAAATAGACAACACTTGTCTATATTATTTAATGAAACGTGTACATATATATATATATATATATATATATATATATATATATATATATATATATATATATTTGTGCATTCGGGCGGCAATCCTTTTATGCACATTTCATTGAAACGACAGACAAGGTGCTTTTATTTAGTTTTTTATACAATTTCTCATGCGATCTAATAATACTTTTTCTTTTTAGATGATAAATTATATAAAAATTGTCTGAATGTTCTTTTCATCCGAGTGCTTTCGGCTATACATTTAGCCATTTTCAAGGATTAAATATTTTAACTGTTAAATAAGAAATAGGTTGTTGTATACATGTTTTATAAAATGTTTTCATTTTTCAAAACACGGTCAAGATATTGTGTCCATGTTCATAGTTGATATTATTAAGTGTTGGTTTTTTTTGTTTTTATTAATAAGGCTTCCATTATTTTTAGCTTTTTTGCATGTAGATGATGCTATTATATTTGTGTTGTCAACAAGTATGTTACAAATAGTGTTCAGTAGGTCTCCATGAATATTTAAATGAGATCTAATTGTGCTATCGTAAGAAAGGTGTAGAGTGAGTCTGCGTGTCAAACATGTTGTAGTGTGGCCTATATAATTATTTACGAATAATGAAATCTGCGTATATATAAAATCTAATATTACGAGGCATTAAAAAAAAAAAACAAAAAAAAACAGGGGAAGCAACCGGTTTCGCTCCTGCTCTTCAGGCTTCAACGGGAGATTTAAAATTAACACAGATAAATGTACAATAAAAGGAATTATAAAGAAAAAAATATGCAAAAGGAACTAGAGACAAATGACAGCGAGCCCCAACAAACACTCACGTTGTTTGCACAAAGATGGCTTGCGGGACCCGATGTAAAGTGTGTGTATATATATATATATATATATACACACACACAGAGACACACACACACACACACACATATATATATATATATATATATATATATATATATATATATGTAAAAGACAAGGAGAAGTATATCTGGTATATCGAGACGTATTACCTAACAGACCATATTCAGTTTCATATTGCTTCTGTTTTTCATTTTTTACTGCTATTATTTTTAAATATCCCACATCCAAATGACTAAAGTTTTATTAGGAAGGCAAATATGTTGTATGATTTTGGACGTAAATTTTTAGTGTTCGATTGCCAAATGAATTCACCTGCAATACATTTTAGCCTTCATAAATCATTTTCTTTTTTAAGATTAAAACTTTTTTCTTTACATCTTTATTATGTTGAATGATTAATGCATAAAGTGATTAGTTTTATAAAACATCGCTTTTATATTCATATATCTTTTATTTAATTAACTCGATGATTCAACCATGTATTTCTTGCCTGTTTCGCAAATTTCTTTTTAATGTTCGTATTTTATGTTAATTAATATTCTTATTTGGTTTGTACAGGAATCCCTCGATTAATGCTTTTTCGATTAGTGCGCTAAATTGTTTTATACCAAAATTCGATTAGTGCAGATATAATATTCGATTAGTGCAGATATAATATTCGATTAGTGCAGATATAATATTCGATTAGTGCAGATATAATATTCGATTAGTGCAGATATAATATTCGATTATTGGCGTAAAACATTCTTCAGTTTAACCATCGTAATTGAAAATTAATTTTTTCGTAGCTACCGATTAATTAAATTTTTTTTTAAATTTAAAAATGTTAAATTGGTAGCTATTTTGTTTGTCAAGTATTACGTTATTTAGTAATGTTAAAAAAAGACGTTTATAAATCTATCAATTTTATAATATAAACCAATAATAAAAATACATATTTGAATATTTGTCTTTATTATAATTTGGAATAAATTTTGATTTTTCTTTCTTGTTTATTTTGAAGGTCTTAAAAGGAAATTTCTGATTTTTTTGTAAAAAAATGGACGATTTAATTAGATACAGAAATTTACATTTATTAAAAAATATCGAAATATAAAAGATGTATGCATTTACTATGGAAAGATTATAAATCAAATTTTTAGATTAAAATATTAAAGATTATGATATGCTTGCAAAATTTAAAGTAGCAATTTCTCAGAATCGCCAATTTTATGAAGAACACAAAAATACCATGTGGCAAATCAATCTAAATAATTTTTTAATAAAAAAAGATTAATAATCATTAATTCAGAGTATTTTTTATTCTAACTTCTTATATATACATATATTTTTTAATTAAAAAGCACGCAAATTAAGAAATTAATTGTGAATGAGACTAAAATTTGAGGTACAAATTGCATCATTTCCTATAAGTTATTAGATTCGATTAATACGTTTTCGATTAGTGTGTATCTTTTAATGGACACATTAGCTGCACACATTGAGGGATTCCTGTAGCTGTTAAAATACATATTAAGTTTCTTTCCAAGTCATTATTGAATTAGTAGGTAGTATTCGTTTTATTTAACGCAAAAGGTAGTCAGTCGTAATATATACAGGTATATTTTTGAAAAAGTTAAAAATCATGCATTTTTTGGTAGCTGGTTGCATTATACACAGGCAATGTTTCCCTGAAGGGGTTAAAATTCATACCAAAAGAATTCAAGGACCACACTTTACATGAAGTCGACTTGTACACGAGTATATACAATATGTATCCAGCACGTTCCATGGTCACCGAATGGACTCTGAACTTCCATCTATCGCGATGAACGGTGATTCTGTCAAGGAGACTTCTTGCCTTGAACGTCTATTGAAACTCAACCCAGACATCGTCGAACTCTTGCATACGATCCATCGCTAACGATCCTGGAAAAATAGTCACTTCCCTTAATACTGCTTCAGTAAGAACCTGACTCCTCTTGCTATCATCTTCCCTTACAAGAGCCAGATCAGGTTGAAAATGGAGTACTGCTACAAAGTTCTCACTTCCCAGTCTTGATAGAGTCCAAAAGCGTATCCGCGTCCTTGTGGGTGATGAATTATTTTCCACCTTGCAAGCTCTTTCCTCCAGACGAAACGTTGGAAGCTTTATCGCTATTTCCATGGAAAGTGTTAAGATAAAATACATTCTTTCGTCCCAACAATTTTAACCTACCCGCCCTCACACCCATTATAGCGAATCACCCTCATTCCCTTCGTGTCCCACTGGGAAGATGTAAGTTCTACTCTAGCAGATTCTTTCCACGAAACGCTGCTTTGTTGTAAAGCAACTCCCAAGTGGATGCTTCCCGATTCTACAATTTTAACCTGTTCATGAATAGTTAACCATTATCTTCCCCACATATCCACCACAAATTTTGTCTCTTACTCTGTAACACTCTGCCTCGAGTGGCTCTTGGACCTTGGCGAACATCAGTCAAAAAATGCCAAGAATTAACTAATATCCTTTCTTTTTTGTCGTCTCATGCTTTCTTTGACTAATCTCAGTTAATTCTGTAACCCTCTACCCCTAATGGCTCTTGAGCCTTGTACAGGGTGAATATTATTTTAACAAAGAAAAAAAATGATTTATGATATATTCTTTTCTAATTCTGTGAATCCAGTAAGCTTTCTGACAAGCATTGTGAGAGTTTAAGAGTATTTCTGAATATCTATGCCGATGATACGACGATATACGGGCGCATCTCTAAAATTCTAGACGATCAGAGATTGACAGCTGACCTCTCTTCTCATCTAATATTAACTTCCCAGGGGGAAAAAAACTGGTTGATTACATTCAATGCCTCGAAAACCAAACCAGTTACATTGCATCACCGCCTGTCAGACCCCGAACCAATCTCGATAAGCCGATGTCACCTCTAGGAGGCACCGTGTCTTGAGAGACTATTGGGCCTCAAAGTTACGCCTCAAGTGGAACACTTATATACGATCCATTGCTAAAAATGCAGATAAAATGATCGGCTCCTTGTACCGCTCCAGTTATCACCTGACTCCTCATGCTATCTTCTACCTTTATAAGAGCCATTTTCAGGCCGAAAATGGAGGACTGTTGCCATATTTGGGCGGGAGCTGTTTAATCCTCACTTTCCGGTCTCGATAGACTCCGAAAGCATCTCTGATTCCTTGTTGGAGAACAATTATTTTCCACTCTTTCTCACAGGCGGGATGTGGCAAATCTCTCACTGCCTTATTGCTACTACCATGAAAAGCGCTCAGACGAACTACATTCCTTGGTTTCACCAGATCTAAACTTCACGGTTAGGACCCGCCATGCCATTTGCATCGTAGCATACCATCCTCATTCCTTCCGTATTCCATCGGTGAGAAGTAAGTTCCACTCAAACAGCCTCTTCCCACGGACCACGATCCCGTGGAACACACTCACAAGAGGATGTTTCAGCGATCACTATAATCTTAACCTGTTCAAGTCTAGAGTTAACTGATTTTCCCCTTCTATCCATATAAACTACCACTTAACGTAACCCTCTACCTTGAGGCGCCCCAGGCCTTATACAGGGTGAAACTTACTGCAACAAAAAATTACGATTTCCAATTATTTAATTCTATTCATATCTATCTATCTATCTATCTATCTATCTATTTAGCGAGCTAGCTAGCTCAGTCTATTTCTTTCTTTCTTTCTTTCTTTTTATCTATCTATGTCAGTTTTTTCATATCTATCTAGCTAGCTAACTCAGTCTATTCCTATCTTTCATTGTCTTTTCACTATCTATCTATCTATCTATCTATCTATCTCGGTCTGTTCATATCTATCTATCTCAGCCCAGTTCTATCTCTCTCTCTCTCACTTTATTTCTATCTATCTATCGATCTATCCTGGCTTACCGACATATCACGTTGAATTACCGATTCTCGTACGATCACCGAAGTTAAGCAACATCGATCCTGGTCAGTACTGTTGGGTGACCGGTTGGGAATACCAGGTACTGCAAGCTTGGATGTGTGGTTGGTGTATTAGATAATATCTTGAAATTGTTAATCGGCGAGCCGAGTTCCAATTCCAGTTGGGTTCGTTATATCCACTTATGCTCAAATACCCTCAGACATTGTACGGGATGAATCTTACTGTAAAAAAAAAATAAAATAAAATTTGAATAGAAGCCGAAAATTATTACGGATTTGATTTTGTTATGATGGAAAAAGAAGGACAAACATTCGTTTTTATTGCTTTATTTTCGATAGACTGTTTAAGATCATGATAAGTACGACGTGTCATAATACCGAGGAAAGGTACTAAGTAAATTCGATTGTATGTTCGATGTTTAGTTTATTTACAACATCAGTTAGTATCGTTTTAATCTGATATATTAAAAAAGCATCATTAATATATTGAAAATCTTTTGATTGTTTGGGTAAATCATTTTTAAAAGGCCAGTTACTAGTTTAGCAGAGAAACAGAATTTATACATAGAGATAACAAATTAAAGCCAAATTTATACAATTATTAGAAAGCATAAATCTCTAACTGCACACTAATTTTCGTCTAGTTAAGTAAAACAAACGCTGCACTCTACTCAAAATTTATTAAAACAAACACAAATATATCAGAGTGCTGGCTATTATCGACGCGACTCTCGCTTGCAACAGATTTCTACAACTACGTCCGCGCGCTTCCCTTATATAGGCTATAAGAGAAGCCGGACAGCACAGAAAGAGAGAGAGAGAGAGAGAGAGAGAGAGAGAGAGAGAGAAAGAGAGAGAGAGAGAGAGAGAGACTTCACACACAAACGCTAATCACAGAGCCTACCCGAGAACACGGCTGACTGCCTGTCCGACCATTAGGCTGTGAAAACGACCTCTTGTAAGCACAGAAAGAGAACGGACTTCATTATCAATGCGACAAGCCCAAATCCATAGCAAACAAGCAGTTAATTTCTCATTTCACACCTCGTACACAGTACATTCTAAGGCTACACTATATTTATCAGAGACTTTTTTCATATCTTGTAAATGAAAATAAATCTTTGGTCATTTCTCCAAACCTGTGTCTAATTTGTTTTTTACTTCAACGAACTTCCACCTCAGATCACAGGAAATCTCATAAAAAAAACATGTTGAAATGCTGCTAAGAGGCAATCCCGTCGGTAATACGAATTTTTCTCTTTTAGAATCTTTTGGTAACGTTTTGAAATCCTCCCAGAATTTAGTATTGTTGAAGTTAATCCTGAAGATTTGCTTATGGCCCTGGATTTGTTAAGAAAATTGAAAAGCTATTCCATGAAATCGAAGATCTGTATCGTTTATTCCACGCTTATGTTCGAAATACATTAATTAAGAAATATGGTGCCAAATATTTCAAAGATAATTTGATTCCAGCGCATATTTTAGGTAAGTATTACGCCCTCACCCTCACGCCGGCAGATATAGTGCCACCTTTTATTGTATTTTTCGGAATACAATATAGATATTATTGGTCCTGACCTGTGGTCTCTGGCTTCAGTCACTTCCACGCCGCAGTAATGTAGATTCCCTGTGCCTTTTCTATAAACTAGAATCTTTTTGCAACACTCGTTTTGAAATCTTCAAAAGTATTTCGTATTCTTGAAGCTATCACTATGATTTTTTGTCAAGATTTAACAAACAAAGTTTCGTTCAATTTCGCAAACCAATCGATAAAAATTTGAATAAGCTGATTTGTTTTGAAAAAGACTACTTCACGGTTTAATAATTTCTTTAATTTAATTTAATTTTATAAAAATTCACGGTAAACAATATGTTTTAAAAAAATTTGTTTCAATTTACCAATGTATGGCTATTTTAGAGGGTGTAACATATGGACGGGCTAACAGTAGCCACAGAATATTATCGATAACAAGGATAAAAACGATTACCACATGTGGATTAACTTTGATTTGTTGCCAAAACTTTATGGTTTTATCTATTGGTAGGAATTGGTTAGTCTTTGATTACACTAGTAGATTATCAAACTATAAACAGTTCACTAAACGTTTCTAATTCGAATTTAGTAAACCAACAACTTGCAGAGTCCAAGAATTACGATTAATCAATCTTTGACGAATTCATTTGAAAAAATCAAGAAAAAGGTTCTCCTTGTCGCTATCATTTCATGTATGAGGATAACATTCCAACACGAAAGACCTGAGAATTTTTCAAGCGGAGTTTTGGCAGATAAAATTTTTATCTAAGCTAGATAATTTTCCAAACATTTCCCATGAGGATAAATCGAATGTTTTGGAGATAAGATTTTGAAAAGATAAGCACGATGCCAACATACAGACCTGGTAGGTATAAATAACTTGATCTGGTTATTTATACGAAGATCTGGTCAACATTTTTATGTGGGAATGCTAATAAAAAAGTTCACGGTCTTACTGAATGAAACTTGAACTCCAGGAGAATAGCGTGAGGTCATAGGATTTTCCATTGTAAATATCTGGATGCTTCTAAAATATTTTTTTTCGGGGATGAAATATATGAAATTAGGGACAATGATAGAGAACGTCGGTTTTCATACCTAAGTAACTATGAATTTATATTAATCTTCTGTGTGCCGTGTCCCTTCAGGGCGTGGGCGATCATGGCTCTTCACAATTTCCTATCCATTATAGCTTGTTGAATTTTAACTTTTTTTTTTAAATCTCTCCTAAACCCTGTTTTGCCATCCATTTACATAAGTTCGTTTGGCAGATTATGAGCAGTTCCTCTCGTCTTCCTTATGTTTCCGTTGCCCCTCTTACTTTCAAGATGTCCTGTGAGTGTCAAATTTTCCAAGCCCCCTTTCCTCAATAAATGTCATATAAATTTCAACTGTCTCTGCCTGACGTTAAGTATAAGTGTAATTTTGGTTTACATTTTCTCTCAAATTTCGACTTTGTTCATATATTTGGTCCATTGTATTCTTAGTATCCTGCTGTAGAACAAGATTTATGTTGCCCTATGTCTCTCCTTCATCTGTGAGGGGATTGCCCAGCATTCACTGCCATATAAAAGAACCGATATCAAGTAACAGTTCAGTACTCTTGTTTTTGTTTCTGTTGCTTCAAGTCTCTTCTTCATCTGTGAGGAGATTGTCCAACATTCACTGCCATATAGGAGGATTGATATTACATAACAGTTCAGTACTCTTTTCTGTTTCTATGACCAAGTCTCTTCTTCATCTGTGAGGAAATTGTCTAGCATTCACTGCCATATAGGAAGACTGATATTACATAACAGTTCAGTACTCTTTTCTTTGTTTCCGTTGCTTCAAGTCTCTTCTTCATCTGCGAGGAGATTGTCCAGTATTCACTGCTATATAGGAGTACTGATATTACGTAACAGTTCAGTATTCTTTTCTTTGTTACTTACAAAGTTTTCCTGTTTTTTATACTTTGCTTAACTTTTGGAAGGCATCTTTCGCTATTCTATATAAAAAGGAAGTCAATATCTGAAATATAAACCTTATAGACCTAACCGAAATCATAAGAGTAGTGTCCAGAATGGGAAGTCAGTTAAAATAGCATTTAATGGCGTAGTCTTCAAAGGTAATCAAAGTGTAGTATCTGTTCTCCTCATCTCTAATAATAATGGTAATATTAGCCGTTTCCTTATAAGAAATCATCCGGTAGTCATCGACCAGTAATAGTTGAGTTACACTTGCCTTCACTATCTGGCCATCGGGCTGGGATCAACGCGTAGTATCAGCTCTCCTCATCAATAATGATGATGGTAATATGAGCTGTTTGCATATAGATAAATATCTGTATTCATCGACAGATCAGCCAGTGCTACTTGAGTTTTGGTTTTCTTCACTCTCTGGCCATCAGACTAGGATCAAAGTCTAGTATCTGTTTTCCTAATCTTTAATGGTAATATTAGCCGTTCCCTAATACTGCTTCATTGATCGAACAGCCAGTGAAATTTACAAAATCTTTCTCTTAAATCCATTTTTCAGGAAAATAGCTTTCTCAAGTCCAATAACTGTTATCGGTCTTTCCACTGTTGATGGCACTTTCCTTCCTAGCATTTTGTTTGAAGTAATGTGGAACTTCAACATCTTTATTATTTCATGATTCTTTCTTCGAGTTACATGTATTATACATTTTAGTTGTTGCCGTTGCTGAAATTCCTCTAGTTATATATATATATATATATATATATATATAACGTACGATCTTTTTTTATGGGCGCATGGCTGTGTGGTAAGAACGTTCGCTTTCTGACCATGAAATCCGGGTTCGAATCTTACCATGTTCGATTTGTCAGGAGGGCGACTTCTTCATGTTATCGGACTGGATCGAGGTGGATCCTAGCATGCGGCACTTTTGGACAATACCTGCAAACCATACCGCGGGTTGAACCAAGCCTTGTGAATGAAATTGGGTAGAATGAAATTGGGTTTGAACTCTTGTGGGTTGGGCTAGCATGAAGCCACAAGTCATCGTGGCCGATGACTTGAGCGTGATGGCCTTGTTCAAATTGTTGATCACGCTAGATAACACGCTCTTTCCCAGAAACTGTAACTAAGGTCTGTTCAACATAGTTGCAGTATAAACCACAGGTGGGCTCTGTGTGTGTTGAGCAATCACAAAATGTGCCTATATATATATATATATATATATATATATATATATATATATATATCAGGTCATCCCATAAGTTCTGTCCGAATTTTAATAAAAGAAAACAAGTGACCAAATGTTACATTTAATTACAGATTCAATCAACAATGTATTTTCCCCTGATTATCTATGACTTCCTTCCATCTATTAACAAGCTTACTAATTCCATTACTGTAAAATTCTTTTGGCTTTGATTCGAAGAACTCACAAATGTCAGTTTTAACTTTTCTTGTGTTACAAATGATTCTGTAAGCTACAAAACAAATGGTAGTCTGAAGTAGCAAGATCGGGAGAATAAGGTGGATGAGGAATTTTCTCCCAACCAAGTTCTTCGATCTTTTGTGACGTGATTCTTGCTGTGTGGGGTCGCGC